AAAAAAAAATGTAATAAAAGTCTTAAACAATCAACTTTATAAATTATTTAATTTGTTAGAAAAACTTGGTAATTTTTGAAAAAGTATAATAGAAATGTAAAAGTCTTAAACAATCAACATAATAAATTATTTAATTTGTGATCCTAACGCACATTATTTTATCACATTAAACATAAACACACGTCAATATGAATAACAAATATACATTACTTTATGTAATTATTTATGTTTTTAATGTGATGTATATCAACAAAAATTAATTTTCCAATTCGACCCTTGCCCATGCCCAGGACACATGATTGTTCGCTTATTATAGCAATGTCAGAAAATGCATGTGCACCTAATGTTCCGAATAATATCAAAACAGCTAGCCCACATCAATTATTATATATTTTTTATTGGATAGTTGCCTCTCACATTATTTCTTTTAGGCCTAACTTCTATTTCTATCTACATAATTTTATCCATAACTCGTACTGTTCCAAAAATGTTATTCTATATAGACAATCTATAATAGAGCATTAAATATTTATTTGATTATTTAAACTTGTGTTTCTTGTCATGATAATTAGATGAATTTTGTCATTGTAATTATAATATTATTATCTTATCCTTAATTAATTAAGAATCAAAATATAAATGTAATGAGGTATGAGTAAGATAAAATGGAAATAAGTATAATTGTGGGTATATTAATTGATGATGTTTGAATATGTTAAATTTCCGTATTTCTTGATTTTAAACAGAAACTCTAAATGACAAGGTCTAATGCACATATAAATTATATATTAAATTATTATATACTTAAAAACTTAAAATATAATATTAATTCTAAAAATTATTTAATCATTATTTCTTTACTTTTTTTTTCATTTAATTATATAATTTATTATTGTTGCTTCATGAATCGGACTGACTACGATAGTAGTTGATATTCTATATAATTATTTATTCGTTTCTGGTGCATCCCTTCCTAATATAATTTAGGGTAAGACTACAATCCCGTTACAAAATCATTCTGTTGAATTTGTAATTGTTAGATAAACATGTTACACTCATGCTTCCGAAACAGCATTCTAGCAACTTCGTTTTCATCCAGCGTTCTCACCAACCAGTGAGGTCGAGTGTAACCGCTCCTTGCGCCTATTGGGACAGTTGCGCAGTCACATTCTATGATGATTTTGCCCTATGTACATCTAACGGTTAAAAATCCCAACAGAATAGTTCCATATCAGGACTTTATCCTTTTTCTATAATTTCTACCCAAATTCAAATCAATTTGGTTGCATGCGTAATTTCGCAATTTCCTTCTAGTAAGCATAAGGAAAAATCAAATGTAGTATTCCATTTGTAGATAAGATTGTTTTTGATAGCGCATTCTAAGTCTAACCTAATCTATATTTGTATCATTTACTAGACAAAATTAAATAAAATAAGATAAATGTGTTCAGATTTATTTAAGTGCAAGTTGTTGAGATGTGCGAGATCGAAAGAAAGAAGAAGGGAAAGCTTCGTATATTTTCAGATGAAAGGGAAAAATGAGATACAAAAGTGTGTTAGGGTTTACAAGACTCCCTATTTATATCAATACAGATACAAGTAAAATTGCTATTAACTAAATGACAACTTTAGCTTAGGCTAATAAGGAACAACATATAATGGACAAAGTACAACTCCTAATACCCCCCCGCAAGAGGAGCATGTATGTTAAGCATGTTCATCTTGAATAGCAAATGATGGAAAGTAGGGCCTGGGAGAGCTTTGGTAAGGAAATCTGCCAGCTGCTCCTTTGTGTTAATATGATGGAGTTGTATGAGGCCTGAGCTTATTTTCTCTCTAATGAGATGGCAGTCCAACTCTATGTGTTTGGTCCTCTCATGAAATACTGGATTGCAAGCCATAGCTAAAGCTGATTTACTATCTGTGAACAAAGAGGCAGGTAAAGTTAGTGATATACCAAGTTCAGTGCTCAAATTCATAATCCACTGGATTTCACAAGAGGCAGTGGCCATAGCCCTGTATTCTGCCTCTGCAGATGACCTACTAATGGTAGGTTGTTTCTTTGATTTCCAAGAAATCAAAGAATTGCCAAGGAATACACAATAACCAGTAACACTCCTTCTTGTATCAACACAAGAAGCCCAATCACTATCAGAGTAAACATTTAAGTGTAAAGAGGAGTTTCTGTGAAAGATAATACCTTGTCCAATGGTTCTTTTTACATACCTGAGAACCCTATGAGCTGCAGCCATGTGTTGTGCAGAGGGTGATGACATGAACTGACTAAGAGTTTGAACAGAGAATGCAATGTCTGGTCTGCTAATGGTAAGATATAGTAATCTACCTACTAATCTTCTGTACTCAGAGGGGTCAGTAAGAGGAGTATAAGAAGAAGATGCAACATTGCCAGACAGTTTAACAGTAGTATCCATGGGAGTGGATGCAGGTTTGCATGCTAACATACCAGTATCAGTAAGGATGTCCAAGGCATACTTTCTTTGACACATATGAATACCATTCT